AACATCGTCATCAGCTTCACCTGCAGTTTGTGAAGTGGTTGTTTTGACACAGGCTGGTGTTTTAAGCAGCAGGATGCACCCCCTCCCTTCTCACATGTCTGAGCACATGCTAATGCTAATGCTAATGCTAATGAAGCAGGTGCAGCCCACACACTGGCCCTCTGTGCTCTCACACTTCTCTCTCAGATGAACCTGACCTCATGAGCTCCCGGTCCATCGCTGCAGAAACTTATTTTCAGTCAAAAACAAATATGTTGGAATTATTTTTATATCAATATTTCAGTTCAGTTCAGTTCAGTTCAGAGTTGTGGCTTCACCAACAACAGTCAGGAGAGTTTATCTGTATAGCACAGTTAATTTAAAAGACAATGACAAACAAGAAAGAAACCATCACTCAGGATTTTAGCAGTTAAACAATAATAACAGTAACCGGCTCGACAGGAAATGTGTCTCTGTGATGAGGGCCCTACTGCAAGGCATCATGGGTAACTCCAGACACTATGGTCGCTCAGAGGAGTAACCGTAGCAACAGGCTCCTATCACTACGCTGCCGAATGGAGCGCTTCAAGAGATCCTGTTACTTCGGCTGTCAGACTGTACAACAAACCTGGATTCTGCTGCTGGACTCCATCTACAGTGTCTACAGTCTCAGACCCAGGACTGAGGCTGTAGACCCAGGACTGAGGCCGTAGACCCGGGACTGAGGCCGCAGACCCGGGACTGAGGCCGCAGACCCGGGACTGAGGCCGCAGACCCGGGACTGAGGCCGCAGACCCGGGACTGAGGCCGCAGACCCGGGACTGAGGCCGCAGACCCAGGACTGAGGCCGCAGACCCAGGACTGAGGCCGCAGACCCAGGACTGAGGCCGCAGACCCAGGACTGAGGCTGTAGACCCAGAGGCTGCTTGTGATGACTGTACTTAAGTCGGGAAACTATAAGAATGTGTGTAGTGTGTGCTCTGAGCAGCAGAGGGCGCTGTGGAGGAGCTGGTGGCCTTTGGAACTACGTGCACAAATGTAAACTTTTATTTCTTACGGATACTTTCTGAAATGGAAAACAACGAATACGGCAAACTCTTAGAAGATGCATTGTTTGGACTCTGTGTGGCCCTTAAACATGATCTTGAGAAGAATGAGTTATTTGATGGCGTTAAAATGATGATATAATGTTGAGCCTCAGATGGGAACTGTTACATGGCCATACTGTAATACAGAAAACATCCTGTGTTTGTATCTGTCACACTCAGCACGTAGTTGTGGGTTTGATCCTCCCTGTGTCTGGGTGGGTTTCCTCTGAGCGCTCCAGTTTCCTCCACCACCCATAATATTCCACACAGATAAAAATCGTCCAGCTCCGGTCCTGACCAAGAGCATGAACGTCTGGAGAAGGCCCCGAGCACAATAAATAATATATAATAACAATAATCAGCCAATTATGTGTCATTTCAGATCCTTGGGGGAGATCCTGGAACATGGGGAGGCTGCGTTTCAGATACATGCAAGTAAAATCTAGAGCAGTCTTCTTGAAAATGTGAGACAGGCTCGAACACTCCTTTTTATGCTAAAGAGAGAGTAAGAGATTTGATTGGACGTGTGTGTTCCTACTGTGTGTAACTTGTAACGCAACACTGACATTTCCACACTCCGGGACGAATACTAATCTCTAATTATGACTCTGTCCAAGACATCCTGATTAAAGCTCAGGTACCTAACATTCAAACCACAACAAATCCATGCAACAAGTTCAACCTCAAAACAGATTCTTCGACAGTTTCCACATGAATGCTTCAGATCGGCTTTTTCAGACAGAAAAGTGAAAAGAGAGGACCACTGTCACTCAGCCAATCAGCTCTCAGCCCAAAGGGTCAAATAGTGACTCACAGGGATCTTACAGGTGTAAACGTTTTACTCCTGCAGGGCTCCTCTTTAGTATTGTTGGTTATCAAGTTTTGAATGCAGCCTTTAGACCTGTCAAAGTCAAGGCCCGGGGGCTCGATCCGGCCCACAAACAAATGTTCTTGGCCCGGGATTATATTTGAGCAGCATCAGAACCGGCCGCACCGAGCCGTGAGTAAATATACGACTATTCATTTAAATTGTTTTTCTCTTTGGAGGAAGTTTGTTTTTGTCTTTGAGGCTGTTGGAAAAGGTTTTTACTTGAAATGACCGAGAGCAGTAAAATATTGGATTATGAAATAAATCTTTAAATAAATACGGTCCACTGTGTTAGGTCTTGGTTCATAATTTTAATCTGTTTTTAGTAAACATTGAACCTCGGCTTGTAGCAAATGTGTTTTTTGGCCTTTGATGTATTTGACTTTGACGTCTGCCCTTTGGACCGTGGCCACGTCTGCCCTGGGACAACCCTCTCCAGTGTCTTGCTCATGGACACAACATCTACAGTTTTAGAACCTTACATTATATTGCTGCAGATTCTCAGTTGGGACGTCCCACTCGCAGACCCCACTCTTTCTCTGTTCTCTAGTTTAACGACTTTCATTCACTCCTGGCACGCCGCCCGACCAATCGGCGCCGCGGCCGCATCCGTCACCACGGCAACCAGGACATCCGATCCAGCGGTGAGAACAGCTGCAGCGACAGCTCGATACAGAATGTGATTTACGAGCACAAGTGTTCGGGCGAAGAGAGTCTAGACCAGGGGTTCCCAAACTTTTCTGTCCAGGAATCTCAGGAAACATGAAACCAACTCACATTTGAGTATTTATTAAAAGCATCAGAACAGACGGGCTGCTGCTGGAGGCCGGTGTCAGAACAAGTCTGTAAGAAAATGGCAATAATGTAAAAGTAATGTTGAATTTATTTCCTCATGCACTTAAATAAATCCAACACTTTTCTGATTTCTAAGTACTTTGTAAAAACATAACTCACAGGAAGCTGCATTTGCTCATAAGCTACAGCCCAAAAACAGTAGTCACTTTATTAATCTAACATGTTCTAAGTCTAATCCTAAACCTTTGTCTAAACATTTTACTTTAAACATTCCTAGTTTTTTTGGTTCATTTTTTGGTTGTTTTGGTCTTTGTGAAAATAACAATGTTTCCCCAGATTATAGATTTGCTTGTTTATCTATCCATAAAAGCTATAATAAAATTATGAACAATATTATGAGACAGATATTTGAACCTTTACTGTTGAAGCTGCCCATTTCGAGATACCGATAAAAAGATAAAAAATAAGGCTCCCCTGACTGAGGCCCTAGCAGGACGGATCATCCCACCGGGGCCTGGGTCATCCCACCGGGGCCTGGGTCATCCCACCGGGGCCTGGGTCATCCCACCGGGGCCTGGGTCATCCCACCGGGGCCTGGGTCATCCCACCGGGGCCTGGGTCATCCCACCGGGGCCTGGGTCATCCCACCACGGCCTTGGTCATCCCACCACGGCCTGGGTCATCCCACCACGGCCTTGGTCATCCCACCGGGGCCTGGGTCATCCCACCGGGGCCTGGGTCATCCCACCAGGGCCTGGGTCAGGAGCAGTGGACGCTGTGGTACAGATGTTCTGCTTGGAGCAACGGGAGAAAACATACGCAGACACAGAGAGAACATGCAAACTCACACCCAGGATCTTCTGAGGGTGGTCCTCTTTGGCCGAGTGGGGGTGGTCCTCTTTGGCCGAGTGGGGGTGGTCCTCTTTGGCCGAGTGGGGGTGGTCCTCTTTGGCCGAGTGAGGGCGATCCTCTTTGGCCGAGTGGGGGTGGTCCTCTTTGGCCGAGTGAGGGTGGTCCTCTTTGGCCGAGTGAGGGTGGTCCTCTTTGGCCGAGTGGGAGTGGTCCTCTTTGGCCGAGTGGGAGTGGTCCTCTTTGGCCGAGTGGGGGTGGTCCTCTTTGGCCGAGTGGGGGTGGTCCTCTTTGGCCGAGTGGGGGTGGTCCTCTTTGGCCGAGTGGGGGTGGTCCTCTTTGGCCGAGTGGGGGTGGTCCTCTTTGGCCGAGTGGGGGTGGTCCTCTTTGGCCGAGTGGGGGTGGTCCTCTTTGGCCGAGTGGGGGTGGTCCTCTTTGGCCGAGTGGGGGTGGTCCTCTTTGGCCGAGTGGGGGTGGTCCTCTTTGGCCGAGTGGGGGTGGTCCTCTTTGGCCGAGTGAGGGCGATCCTCTTTGGCCGAGTGGGGGTGGTCCTCTTTGGCCGAGTGAGGGCGATCCTCTTTGGCCGAGTGAGGGCGATCCTCTTTGGCCGAGTGGGAGTGGTCCTCTTTGGCCGAGTGGGGGTGGTCCTCTTTGGCCGAGTGGGGGGGTCCTCTTTGGCCGAGTGGGGGTGGTCCTCTTTGGCCGAGTGGGGGTGGTCCTCTTTGGCCGAGTGGGGGTGGTCCTCTTTGGCCGAGTGGGGGTGGTCCTCTTTGGCCGAGTGGGGGTGGTCCTCTTTGGCCGAGTGGGGGTGGTCCTCTTTGGCCGAGTGGGGGTGGTCCTCTTTGGCCGAGTGAGGGCGGTCCTCTTTGGCCGAGTGAGGGTGGTCCTCTTTGGCCGAGTGAGGGTGGTCCTCTTTGGCCGAGTGAGGGTGGTCCTCTTTGGCCGAGTGGGGGTGGTCCTCTTTGGCCGAGTGAGGGTGGTCCTCTTTGTCACTTTTCTGTCTGAAAAAGCTTATCTCGGCTCCAATTCAGAGTGTTGTCGTGAACATGTCCCAAATAAACTGACGGATGATCACGGGAAAAGCTCAGATGAATTTAAGGATTTCCAAACTTAACATTTAACAGCAGCATCTGGACTTTGCAATTATACATTATCATTAATCATTCACTCTGAAAACTTTCTCATCTGTTTATACTCTCTAAAGCTAAATATTGGAGAGATTTTTAAATCTGTTCCGCTCAGATGGGGTTTGGCAGTAACATCTAATTCAAACTTGTTCAAATAGATTCCTTTTGTATGAAGTCAAATCTCTAGTGGTTTATCAAAGTCTTTTCCATGATGGAAGTCTCTGATTAACGCGGGTCAGAGTTCCTTGACCTTTGACATAAAACTGACCTTCTCTGAGCTGTGGCAGGATCAGACTTCTCTTTGCTTGAAATGAACTTTAAAAACACTGCAGTTTGTTTAAAAGACCCGTCGTCAAACCGGTGAACTGGGACTGGGTCTAGTCCAAAGTATCCAAACTGATAAGGCGCTTACATCGAAATCATTGTTTTGGGTTCAATATAATAAATATGAATAATAAAGTTGTGAAAGAAAGAGTCGGAGTCTTCGTGGTTCACATTTAATGCCCTAGGCTTTATTCTTGTCTTATTTTAGTGAGAGTCGTCACATGTTTTGTCTTTTCAGCCTCCAGGTGGACACACACACATACGCTCATATACACACACTACACACACACATACGCTCATATACACACACTACACACACACACACATACGCTCATATACACACACACTACACACACACACATACGCTCATATACACACACACTACACACACACACATACGCTCATATACACACACACTACATACACACATACGCTCATATACACAGACACACACACTACACACAGACACACACACACTCACACAGACGCACACTGCAGCGTGTGCCCTGGACCTCTTCACAGAAGAGAGAGACTCTTTCCCCAAAGGAAGGCACCCAATACTTGTGGTTTTGGCCTTGCAGCCGTCTGGAGATTCTCTTTACAAAGAAAAAAAAACTCAAACAAAAAGAGGAACAGAGATTACCCACAATCCTCCTGTCCTCTGCATTTTTTTGATATAAAACTGGAATGATGAAACGCATACAGACGCCTCCCTTATCACCTTTGCATGACACCAAATGAACACTTAGCAAAGTTTATACCAACACCTGGGCCTGGTTCAGTCCGGTACAGCAGCGTTTACACTGGTTTACACTGTGCCAAAGGCCACACGGCAACGGGATAGCAACCGTGTGGGCTGTGATTGGTTCAAATCAGCAGCAAAGTACAAATAAAAACGGATCATTCCAATTAGGGGTTACACACATTTGATTGTTCAGAATGACACACACACACGACTGTGATATGTAACTGATCAGAAACGGTGCAAACGTGCCAAAAATGCCGTACGGACTCAAACCGCCCGTCGTGGTAGAAACCAGGCTAAAGAATGAACTCTTCAAAAAGTTGAAAAAAAAAAAAAAAAAAAAAAAAAGACCCAAAAAGCTTACAATCAAATTCACCACAGTAAAAATACAAAAATAACTGATTTCTGTTTTACAAAAGTCAAAGGGGAAAAACAATTAGAGGATTTCTGGGGAGGGGGATACCACATGAATATGAAGGACCCCATTAAAAGAATACAAAAGCAGCACTGAGTTTATCAAAAAAACAAAATACACAAAAATATAGTGCTTAGACAGAAGCAGCAAAGGCTTCTGGGAAGAGACTTGATCCCTGTGACGAGGGACTGGAGGATGAAGAGCCCTTTGGTTTTCTCGGCGCAGGACTAAGTCATTTTGTCAAAGGAAGGCTCAACCTTTTGCCGCTTTTGACAATGATAAGATATTTTTTTGTGTCTTTTATGAATCAGTGACAATTGGAGGAAGTCATGGCTCCCACTGGCTCCGGAGACCACCGGGACCACCGGGACCACGCCTCTTTTTAAACCTATGTTTTTAATCGGTGATAAGCGGCTGATTACTTGTAATGAAGTTGGCAATGTTTATTTATATTGCAGTCCGGGATGCGACCTTTCTGCTGACACTGCATAAAGGGGCGGGGCAATACGAAAGTGGGCGACCTCTTTTATAACATGTTTTAAAATTAATACATTTCAAAATGTCATAAATGTATGAGAAATGAGTGACACATTTATAGAGACCGAGATGTCAGCATTCCAGATTTCATTGAACTGATTTAGAGGAAAAGGCTGATTTCAATTCATTAGCATGTTAGCATGTTAGCAGCCTCCAGGACAAAGTAAAGAGACTTTTGTCTTGGTTCTTGCAGAGTTCCCTTGAAATGATCCACACACATTTAGATCGATTTGTGCGAGTTCTTACTAGAGAATTCTTTGCAGATATTTTTGAGCCTAGTCTTTTTCTCAAAACGTTGGTGCCAAAAGTGCCAGAAATGTTCAAAGTGTGCAAAAGAAAACGCATCAAAATCCTACTCAAAGAAACAGAGTCATTGTGAAAAATACATTCATTTAAGTTTGGGCTTTAAGCGACAGAAACCTGCGTCTGAATTATGTGAAGGGGATTCCATTTTGGGTTAGGGTTAAGTTATCGAGGGCCATGTGCGGAACTACAGACACAAAACTAAAGCGATCGTTTCAAATTGGACCGAGACCAGACCTTTTTTTCCCTTAATACCAGAAAAACAGCTTTTAGAAAGATTCAAATATGGAATGAAAGTTTAATATAGACCCACTAAGACTGGGCTGATATTTGACAGATATGTTTGTTGTAAGGCCTTGAATCTGGCTGATCACATGGAATATGAGTTTGAAAGAGTGTTGCTGATATTTCCGACATCTCCACCCTTTTACTGTTGTAGCTAACGCTAACATGATGCACAGTGAATGAATGCATGGACGTGACGGGGTGGAGAGGTGTGTGGACGTTACTCTAGTATTTGTAATCCTAATCTCAGTTTTCTGTTCGTCCGCTGAGAGCAAAACGAAAGGGCTCAAAATGAAGAAAACTTTGTGGTTGTGAGTGGGGCCTGCTTCACAAGTTACAGAAATACTCTGCTAGCTAACATTTACCTACAGCACAGGAACCAACAGTGTTCAGATAAAAAAATCAAATAAAAAAAATCAAACCCAACAAAGAAAAGAAAGGAAGTTGTAAACACATCACAATAAATAGATAAAACCAGCAGGCTCCGCACCATGCACATGATATGAAAGACTCTCCACAAGCTACTTGGCTTTTTTTTCATTTAGTTCGACTCCCAAGTGCAAAACATCACAAATGGACAGTTGTATTCAAGTAATATTTACAGGTTATTACAAATAGGTTACTGTACACATACTAATTTTGCCTTATTCATAATTTACATGTGGATTTTCTCTCTCGCTCTTTTTTTATTAACAGTAACAAAAGGAGATTAAAAAGCACGGAGCGGGTGGAGACGCCGGATGCTACGTCACCTCCATCGCCACTGTGTTTTCAGACAGACTGTTCAGCGCCGCCTTCTCCTCCTCGTGGTTTTCCCTGAGAACAGAGACAAACATCACATCAGGAGAGAAAACTACATACAGGAAGTGACGGCAGAGAACACGGCGGAACAGAGAGAACACGGTGGAACCCTGGATCTATAATAATAACTGGATAGAGTATTACCATCTCACAGCTGTCCCACCAACGGCCACAGGGGGCGCTGTGGTACTGCAAACTAAATTCACGAAGGCTACACAGAAAAGTCCCATAGAACTCAATGTAAACTAAAACAGCACGACCTCAGCTGACAGAGAAGCTGACAGAGAACCAAACAGAGAACCTGACAGAGAACCTGACAGAGAACCTGACAGAGAACCTGACAGAGAACCTGACAGAGAACTTGACAGAGAACCTGACAGAGAACCTGACAGAGAACCTACAGAGAACCTGACAGAGAACCTGACAGAGAACCTACAGAGAACCTGACAGAGAACTTGACAGAGAACCTGACAGAGAACCAAACAGAGAACCTGACAGAGAGCCTGACAGAGAGCCTGACAGAGAGCCTGACAGAGAGCCTGACAGAGAACCTGACAGAGAACCTGACAGAGAACTTGACAGAGAACCTGACAGAGAACCAAACAGAGAACCTGACAGAGAACCTGACAGAGAGCCTGACAGAGAGCCTGACAGAGAACCTACAGAGAACCTGACAGAGAACATGACAGAGAACCAAACAGAGAACCTACAGAGAACTTGACAGAGAACCTGACAGAGAACCTGACTGAGAACCTGACAGAGAACCTACAGAGAACCTACAGAGAACCTGACAGAGAACCTGACAGAGAACCTACAGAGAACCTGACAGAGAACCTGACAGAGAACCTACAGAGAACCTACAGAGAACCTGACAGAGAACCTGACAGAGAACCTACAGAGAACCTGACAGAGAACCTGACAGAGAACCTACAGAGAACCTGACAGAGAACCTACAGAGAACCTGACAGAGAACCTGACAGAGAAACTGACAGAGAACCTGACAGAGAACCTGACTGAGAACCTGACAGAGAACCTACAGAGAACCTACAGAGAACCTGACAGAGAACCTGACAGAGAACCTACAGAGAACCTGACAGAGAACCTGACAGAGAACCTACAGAGAACCTGACAGAGAACCTGACAGAGAACCTGACTGAGAACCTGACAGAGAACCTGACAGAGAACCTGACAGAGAACCTACAGAGAACCTGACAGAGAACCTACAGAGAACCTACAGAGAACCTGACAGAGAACCTGACAGAGAACCTACAGAGAACCTGACAGAGAGCCTGACAGAGAACCTACAGAGAACCTGACAGAGAACCTACAGAGAACCTACAGAGAACCTGACAGAGAACCTGACAGAGAACCTACAGAGAACCTGACAGAGAACCTACAGAGAACCTACAGAGAACCTGACAGAGAACCTGACAGAGAACCTACAGAGAACCTGACAGAGAACCTGACAGAGAACCTACAGAGAACCTGACAGAGAACCTACAGAGAACCTACAGAGAACCTGACAGAGAACTTGACAGAGAACCTACAGAGAACCTGACAGAGAACCTGACAGAGAACCTGACAGAGAACCTGACAGAGAACCTACAGCTTTCATAAAGATCGGATTTTGTGGGGATTTTAGTGTCGCTTGTCTTTTTTTTTTTTCTTCTTAAATCCTTCAGTTTTCTTTAAATCCACACTTTACTGCCACAAACTCTGCTCCTTTCCTTCCCGCTCTGACTCCGCTCTGCTGCTGCTCTGATGATCAGCTCTGATTGGTCAGAGGCCGAGCCCCTCTGTGCACGTGCATGAAAGCCACACACGCACGTTTGGCGCAATGCATGATGGGAGATAATCCACTGCACAGAACCAGGAGGACCAGACGATGCCCAAATATGGGAGAGTTCTGCTAATCTCCCGGTCTCCATGAAGTCCCATGAACTACTGAGCACAAGCCGTTCATTTGAACAGGACGCCATCTTGGATCACCAGGGCTTGGGCCGAACAGAGAGGACGCGGATCCACTTTGAACCAATAGGCCGGGTGTGTTCAGACGAGTCAGACTGCACTGGGACATCGCTCAGTGACAGGTTTTGTTTTTATGGATCCATTTACTTTTCATTTTGTATTAATTCTTCTCTATACAGACTTCTACTCGAGTATTTGTGGGAGACGGTAAATTGGTTTGTCAATCTGTAGCTTCTCTCCAACTTTTTCTTGGTCAAAATTTGATACATTACCATTTAAAACAACATAATTGATTATTCTTTTGAATGAATAACTTGTCTAAATGGGTGACAGTTTATCACAGCATTCAGAGTCATTTACAGAGTTATTTTCAGTCTCGCTTCAGTCCAGTCTCTTTTCACCGTCGTCAACATTATTATATTTCCAGAGAATAATACATAATCCAAACACTGAGAATCTATCCAGAGGAGAGGAGAGTAAAGCTGTGAGGAGCAGAGAATATAAAGTGTATGACACCTAGAGCTGCAACTAACGATTATTTTGTAATCGATTAATCTATCGATTATTTTTACGATTAATCGAGTAATCGCTTGGCTGTGAATTGTGAAGAAAAAAAATATTGTTTCATCACAAAAAGCTAAAGTGGCAACACTCGAGGACGTATTGAGGCGTAAACTTAAAGTAAATGTTTGTTACAGGCTCTTTGTGCTAATTCTGCTCTGATTGGATGAGACAGACAGATATTCATGAAATTATAAAAACAGTCGGTTTTAATCAAAATTCTACATTTTCATGTCATTTTTGCTCTGTTTGAGTCCGTGTGAACCAGAAAACGATTAATCGATTACTAAAATAGTTGTCGACTATTTCAATAATCGATTATTTGTTTGAGCCCTAATGACACCAGTGCTTAGTCTCACTGCGGTCCTAAGGAGAACACATTCAGACATGTACGAGGGTATTTCGGGGTTGTTGCGGTCCTTACATTTGTCTTGCTCACCTTGCAGCCATGTCCATGCCCTGGGAGCCCGGCACCTTGGGCAGGCTGGACGAGGACAGTTTTAAGGCAGCGGCGGGCACGGAGGCCAGGGCGCGGGGCAGGTGGCGGGCCGACGGTACGCTCAGACACAGGTTGTTCCCAATAAGGACCTGAGTGGTGGAGGGCGCGGCGTTACCCAGAATCCCCAGCGGCGCGGGCTGCGAGGGGCTGGATGAGTTGGGCTGCAGGAACGGCTGGGGGCCAGAGGGGGCGCTGGAGAGGTGCAGGCCTTTGAACACGCCTGGGGAGAAAGAGGGAGAGTCTGGTCAGCAACAGAAGGAAAGTAGTTTATCAGCTTCTCATTTAATGTAAATCATTTATTTATTTTCAGGTTCATACAGGATTCACACATACACACTTCGTACATACATACATACATACACTCTCTTCTTCTCCCCTATAGAGACCTGAACTGCAGGTGTAGTAGTAATACTTCTCAGGCCTCATGATGCTGTGTGTGTAATGTTACTCCATCACCACTAGGGGGATTTAACAGGTCTCTGCCATAGACTGACATCCTACAGCAACGCAACTGGGCTTAGGTTTAGAATTAGCTTTAGCCGGGAGCCAGATGTTCTGTTTTACATCACACGACAGTCCAAGGACAGATACACAGAGAAACAGTATTTTAGGAGCCTCAGCAAGTTTCCATGTCCTCCCCTGAGTTTAAAGCCGGGAAACCTTTTTTTATTAACCTCGTTTTTTCTTTTTTTGGCCTATTCGCTTCATTGATCCATTCTCTTGACCAATGAAAAGCATCAGGATAAACCAGGGATGAGAATTATCTGCAGATCCGCAAATTCCGACTTTTTCTCCCTGAAAATATCATTTCTGTGAAATGTGTGACCGTGGGCAGTCGAACGGGAGCAACTGTGGCTGCTTTGACACAGCTCAGAGTGGATTTTTAAAATATCTTTTATGTCAGTGGCACTTTATTGCCAAAATCTTTGTGTCTTATTGTAAACATGTGTTAGTCTCACATTATTTGTGGCTGTTTTATTAACCTTTCCTGTGTGGAAGTTGTATATATATTTTTGTATTATTCTACTGAAGGTTTATAATACATTCCATTCTTATTGAAAGTCACAAGTGTCAGCTCTCAAATTCTTTGTAAATGATGTTTCTATCTGCAACAGAGGCCGAGACATCAATCATTCTGTAGACGTTGAATTTCAGGAAAACTTCAGGTTTTGGAGCTGGTTCTAAAGTCGGCCTCAGGTTTTACTGGGTGTGTGTGTTACACCGGGTGTGTGTGTGTTACACCGGGTGTGTGTGTGTTACACCGGGTGTGTGTGTGTTACACCGGGTGTGTGTGTTACACCGGGTGTGTGTGTTACACCGGGTGTGTGTGTTACACCGGGTGTGTGTGTTACCCCGGGTGTGTGTTACACCGGGTGTGTGTGTTACCCCGGGTGTGTGTTACACCGGGTGTGTGTTACCGGGTGTGTGTTACAGGGTGTGTGTTACACCGGGTGTGTGTTACACCGGGTGTGTGTTACACCGGGTGTGTGTTACACCGGGTGTGTGTTACACCGGGTGTGTGTTACACTGGGTGTGTGTTACACCGGGTGTGTGTGTTACCGGGTGTGTGTTACCGGGTGTGTGTTACACCGGGTGTGTGTTACCGGGTGTGTGTTACACCGGGTGTGTGTTACCGGGTGTGTGTTACAGGGTGTGTGTTACACCGGGTGTGTGTTACACCGGGTGTGTGTTACCGGGTGTCTGTTACACTGGGTGTGTGTTACACCGGGTGTGTGTGTTACCGGGTGTGTGTTACCGGGTGTGTGTTACACCGGGTGTGTGTTTTCGGGTTTGTGTTACCGGGTGTGTGTTTTGCCGGGTGTGTGTTACCCGGGTGTGTGTTACCGGGTGTGTGTTTTGCCGGGTGTGTGTTTTGCCGGGTGTGTGTTACCGGGTGTGTGTTACCGGGTGTGTGTTACCGGGTTTGTGTTACCGGGTGTGTGTTTTGCCGGGTGTGTGTTACCGGGTGTGTGTTACCGGGTGTGTGTTACCGGGTGTGTGTTACTGGGTGTGTGTTACCAGGTGTGTCAGGCCTGGGTTAGAGGGTTATGGGTTAGAAAAGCATGATGGTTGTGTCCTAAAGTAACATACTGTGAACAAATCAGATCACAACATGCCGTCTTCATCTTTTTGCAGGACTATAGATTATTTTTTCCCGTGAGTCCTGATGTTTTGAGCAGAATAAAGGTGTACAGGGGTCTGGCAGGAACTAATTGACAAGTATTTTCTTAAGTGATAACGCTGCTTTTGCAAGATGTGCAAACACTCAAAGAAAATGGTCATAAAGGAAAGAAGTGCAAAGTTCAATTATCGCCTCTGACTCACTGAGCTATAGCGTTGTTAGGGCGATGCTAACAGTAGCATTGCTGATCAGAGTTTATCCTCAGGTGGAAATCCATGACATCACTGCCATTGTCACATTCACACAGGAAGTCACTGTTGCTACATCTGAAAACGACTCTTTAGAGGCAATAGTGCAACACGACAGCAGCTCGGAGCAACAAAGCTTTTCTCAATCGCCCGTTTGAGTTGATGCAACGCAGACGTAACGAGTACGGCGGGCTCGTGATGAAAGGGGTCCTCGCCGTTTAATCTGAGGGCAAAAGGACGAAGACCGATCCCTGATAACGGACTGTTGAGTGTCACACAACGAGACACACTCATTCACACGTTGGACAAAGATCAATAACTCAAAACATGTGAACAATAATGCATTCCATTAACAAGACTCCAATGTATAGCCAGGAAGTTCATAAGAAATACTTTCATAAACATTTATAATATGTATAACAGTGTTATTTAAACCATCACCACCGACAAAAACCCAAAATAATCCTATATACAGAGGTCGTTTTAGAAGTACTGTTACCATGGAGTTTTAGTTTTTTCTTTGACTGTAGTAAAATAGGATCAGTCCGTTATGCCAAAAGTATACAACTGACAATTATGTGTTAAACCTCCGAGTGTTTTTTAATCCCAAAAAAGGTGCAGTGTGTGTGTATCATGTCAGCAGATTCACGTAGCTACATTAGCGTAGCAACATTAGCATGCAGACAACTCAAACAAAGCACTGAGGTGTCGTCCCATTGAGCGTGTGCGACCGTCTGCTACCGTCTATGTGAGCGTGTGCGAGCGTGTGTGAACGTGTGCAGACCTACGTTGGTGTGTGTGTGTGAGTGTGAGCAGACCTGCGTTGGTGAGTGTGTGTGAGCGTGTGTGAGCTTGTGCAGACCTGCGTTGGTGAGTGTGTGAGTGTGTGCGAGCGTGTGCAGACCTGCGTTGGTGTGTGTGTGAGTGTGTGCGAGCGTGTGCAGACCTGCGTTGGTGTGTGTGTGTGTGTGTGTGCGAGCGTGTGCAGACCTGCGTTGGTGAGCGTGTGTGAGTGTGTGCGAGCGTGTGCAGACCTGCGTTGGTGAGCGTGTGAGCGTGTGCAGACCTGCGTTGGTGTGTGTGTGTGAGCGTGTGTGAGCGTGTGCAGACCTGCGTTGGTGAGTGTGTGTGAGCGTGTGCAGACCTGCGTTGGTGTGTGTGTGTGAGCGTGTGTGAGCGTGTGCAGACCTGCGTTGGTGTGTGTGTGAGCGTGTGCAGACCTGCGTTGTGTGTGTGTGTGTGAGCGTGTGCAGACCTGCGTTGGTGAGTGTGTGTGTGTGTGTGTGCGAGCGTGTGCAGACCTGCGTTGGTGAGCGTGTGTGAGTGTGTGCGAGCGTGTGCAGACCTGCGTGTGTGCGTGTGTGTGAGCGTGTGCAGACCTGCGTTGGTGTGTGTGTGAGCGTGTGTGAGTGTGTGCAGACCTGCCTTGGTGAGTGTGTGTGAGCGTGTGCAGACTTGCGTTGGTGTGTGTGTGAGCGTGTGCGAGCGTGTGCAGACCTGCGTTTGGTGTGTGTGTGAGTGTGTGCGAGCGTGTGCAGACCTGCGTTGGTGAGTGTGTGTGTGTGTGTGCGAGCGTGTGCAGACCTGCGTTGGTGAGCGTGTGTGAGTGTGTGCGAGCGTGTGCAGACCTGCGTTGGTGAGCGTGGTGAGCGTGTGCAGACCTGCGTTGGTGTGTGTGTGTGAGCGTGTGCAGACCTGCGTTGGTGAGTGTGTGTGAGCGTGTGCAGACCTGCGTTGGTGTGTGTGTGTGAGCGTGTGTGAGCGTGTGCAGACCTGCGTTGGTGTGTGTGTGAGCGTGTGCAGACCTGCGTTGGTGTGTGTGTGTGTGAGCGTGTGCAGACCTGCGTTGGTGAGTGTGTGTGTGTGTGTGCGAGCGTGTGCAGACCTGCGTTGGTGAGCGTGTGTGAGTGTGTGCGAGCGTGTGCAGACCTGCGTGTGTGCGTGTGTGTGAGCGTGTGCAGACCTGCGTTGGTGTGTGTGTGAGCGTGTGTGAGTGTGTGCAGACCTGCCTTGGTGAGTGTGTGTGAGCGTGTGCAGACTTGCGTTGGTGTGTGTGTGAGCGTGTGCAGACCTGCGTTGGTGTGTGTGTGAGCGTGTGCAGACCTGCGTTGGTGTGTGTGTGAGCGTGTGCAGACCTGCGTTGGTGTGTGTGTGTGAGCGTGTGTGAGCGTGTGCAGACCTGTGTTGGTGTGTGTGTGTGAGCGTGTGCAGACCTGCGTTGGTGGTGTGTGTGTGTGTGTGTGTGAGCGTGTGTGAGCGTGTGCAGACCTGTGTTGGTGTGTGTGTGTGAGCGTGTGTGAGCGTGTGCAGACCTGTGTTGGTGTGTGCGTGTGTGAGTGTGTACAGACCTGCGTTGGTGAGTGTGTGTGAGTGTGTGCAGACCTGCGTTGGTGAGTGTGTGTGAGCGTGTGTGAGCGTGTGCAGACCTGCGTTGGTGTGTGTGTGTGAGCGTGTGTGAGCGTGTGAGCAGACCTGCGTTGGTGTGTGTGTGAGCGTGTGCAGACCTGCGTTGGGTGTGTGTGTGTGAGCGTGTGCAGACCTGCGTTGGTGAGTGTGTGTAAGCGTGTGCAGACCTGCGTTGGTGTGTGTGTGTGTGAGCGTGTGCAGACCTGCGTTGGTGAGTGTGTACAGACCTGCGTGTGTGCGTGTGTGTGAGCGTGTGCAGACCTGCGTTGGTGAGTGTGTGTGAGCGTGTGCAGACCTGCGTTGGTGTGTGTGTGAGCGTGTGTGAGCGTGTGCAGACCTGCGTTGGTGAGTGTGTGTGAGCGTGTGCAGACTTGCGTTGGTGTGTGTGTGAGCGTGTGCAGACCTGCGTTGGTGTGTGTGTGTGAGCGTGTGCAGACCTGCGTTGGTGTGTGTGTGAGCGTGTGCAGACCTGCGTTGGTGTGTGTGTGAGCGTGGTGCAGACCTGCGTTGGTGTGTGTGTGAGCGTGTGCAGACCTGCGTTGGTGTGTGTGAGCGTGTGCAGACCTGCGTTGGTGAGTGTGTGTGAGCGTGTGCAGACCTGCGTTGGTGAGTGTGTGTGAGCGTGTGCAGACCTGCGTTGGTGTGTGTGTGAGCGTGTGCAGACCTGCGTTGGTGTGTGTGTGTGAGCGTGTGCAGACCTGCGTTGGTGTGTGTGTGCAGACCTGCGTTGGTGTGTATGTGTGAGCGTGTGTGAGCGTGTGCAGACCTGCGTTGGTGAGTGTGTGTGAGCGTGTGCAGACCTGCGTTGGTGTGTGTGTGCAGACCTGCGTTGGTGTGTATGTGTGAGCGTGTGTGAGCGTGTGCAGACCTGCGTTGGTGTGTGTGTGTGAGCGTGTGTGAGCGTGTGCAGACCTGCGTTGGTGTGTGCTGACCTGCGTGTGTGAGTGTGTACAGACCTGCGTTGGTGAGTGTGTGTGAGCGTGTGTGAGTGTGTACAGACCTGCGTTGGTGACTATGTGTGAGCGTGTGTGAGTGTGTACAGACCTGCGTTGGTGAGTGTGTGTGAGCGTGTGCAGACCTGCGTTGGTGTGTGCGCGTGTGCAGACCTGCGTTGGTGAGTGTGTGCAGACCTGCGTGTGTGAGTGTGTACAGACCTGCGCTGGTGAGTGTGTGTGAGCGTGTGTGAGCGTGTACAGACCTGCGTTGGTGAGTGTGTGTGAGCGTGTGCAGACCTGCGTTGGTGAGTGTGTGTGAGCGTGTGCAGACCTGCGTTGGTGAGTGTGTGTGAGCGTGTGAGCGTGTGCAGATCTGCGTGTGTGAGCGTGTGCAGACCTGCGTGTGTGAGCGTGTGCAGACCTGCGTGTGTGAGCGTGTGCAGACCTGCGTGTGTGAGCGTGTGCAGACCTGCGTGTGTGAGTGTGTGCTGACCTGCGTTGGTGTGTGCAGACCTGCGTGTGTGAGCGTGTGCAGACCTGCGTGTGTGAGTGTGTACAGACCTGCGCTGGTGAGTGTGTGTGAGCGTGTGTGAGCGTGTACAGACCTGCGTTGGTGAGTGTGTGTGAGCGTGTGCAGACCTGCGTTGGTGAGTGTGTGTGAGCGTGTGAGCGTGTGCAGATCTGCGTGTGTGAGCGTGTGCAGACCTGCGTGTGTGAGCGTGTGCAGACCTGCGTGTGTGAGCGTGTGCAGACCTGCGTGTGTGAGCGTGTGCAGACCTGCGTGTGTGAGTGTGTGCTGACCTGCGTTGGTGTGTGCAGACCTGCGTGTGTGAGCGTGTGCAGACCTGCGTTGGTGTGTGCAGACCTGCGTCTGTGAGCGTGTGCAGACCTGCGTTGGTGAGTGTGTGCAGACCTGCGTTGGTGAGTGTGTGTGAGCGTGTGTGAGTGTGTACAGACCTGCGTTGGTGAGTGTGTGTGAGCGTGTGCAGACCTGCGTTGGTGTGTGCGCGTGTGCAGACCTGCGTTGGTGAGTGTGTGCAGACCTGCGTTGGTGTGTGAGCGTGTGTGAGCGTGTGCAGACCTGCGTGTGTGAGTGTGTACAGACCTGCGCTGGTGAGTGTGTGTGAGCGTGTGTGAGCGTGTACAGACCTGCGTTGGTGAGTGTGTGTGAGCGTGTGCAGACCTGCGTTGGTGAGTGTGTGTGAGCGTGTGAGCGTGTGCAGATCTGCGTGTGTGAGCGTGTGCAGACCTGCGTGTGTGAGCGTGTGCAGACCTGCGTGTGTGAGCGTGTGCAGACCTGCGTTGGTGAGTGTGTGTGAGCGTGTGTGAGCGTGTGCAGACCTGCGTGTGTGCTGACCTGCGTGTGTGCGGTGTGCAGACCTGCGTGTGTGAGCGTGTGCAGACCTGCGTGTGTGAGCGTGTGCAGACCTGCGTGTGTGAGTGTGTGCTGACCTGCGTGGTGTGTGCAGACCTGCGTGTGTGAGCGTGTGCAGACCTGCGTTGGTGTGTGCAGACCTGCGTCTGTGAGCGTGTGCAGACCTGCGTTGGTGAGTGTGTGAGAGCGTGTGTGAGCGTGTGCAGACCTGCGTTGCTGAGTGTGTGCAAACGTGTGTGAGCGTGTGCAGACGCGTTGGTGAGATTGTGTGAGCGTGTGCAGACCTGCGTTGGTGAGATTGTGTGAGCGTGTGTGAGCGTGTGCAGACCTGCGTTGCTGAGTGTGTGTGAGCGTGTGCAGACCTGCGTTGCTGAGTGTGTGCGAACGTGTGTGAGCGTGTGCAGACCTTCGTTGCTGAGTGTGTGTGAGCGTGTGCAGACCTTCGTTGCTGAGTGTGTGTGAGCGTGTGCAGACCTGCGTTGCTGAGTGTGTGTGAGCGTGTGCAGACCTTCGTTGCTGAGTGTGTGTGAGCGTGTGCAGACCTGCGTTGGCGAGGACCCCGTTGACTCCAGAGTTCAGCAGCTCGTCTTTGGGTTTGTAGGTCCTCAGCTGCTCTGACGTCACCAGCGCTGAAGCCGCGAACTGAGCCGAGGCCTGGTCCAGGGTTTTAGACGAGTTTGTCTGAAGAGAGAGGAACACATTCAAACAAATGCTACAGTGGACCTGAGCTAAAGTGGACCAGAGCTACAGTGGAACAGGGCTACAGTGGACCAGTCATGCGAGGGTCCGAGACATTCTGCTTTGATTTGACCAGTGTTTCCCACACATAGGTGAATCTGTGGCGCACCGTGTAGTACAGCACAAACCTGTGTGGGTGTAGCACAGACCTTTATGGGTGTAGCACAGACCTGTATGGGTGTAGCACAGACCTGTATGGGTGTAGCACAGACCTGTATGGGTGTAGTACAGACCTGTGGGTGTAGCACAGACCTGTGTGGGTGTAGCAGACCTGTATGGGTGTAGCACAGACCTGTGTGGGTGTAGCAGACCTGTGGGTGTAGCACAGACCTGTGTGGGTGTAGTACAGACCTGTGTGGGTGTAGTACAGACCTGTATGGGTGTAGTACAGACCTGTGTGGGTGTAGTACAGACCTGTGTGGGTGTAGTACAGACCTTTATGGGTGTAGCAGACCTGTATGGATATAGCACAGACCTGTGTGGGTGTAGTACAGACCTGTGTGGGTGTAGCAGACCTGTATGGGTGTAGCACAGACCTGTATGGGTGTAGCACAGACCTGTGTGGGTGTAGTACAGACCTGTGTGGGTGTAGCAGACCTGTATGGGTGTAGCAGACCTGTATGGGTGTAGCAGACCTGTATGGGTGTAGCAGACCTGTGTGGGTGTAGTACAGAATCAGAATCAGAATCAGAATCAGAATCATTTTTATTGCCAACGTAAGTAACGGGAGGTCACAGACTTGGAAATTGCTTTGGCTCAGTGCAACAGTCAAAAAGAGATAATAAAAATAAGAATAAAAAACACTTCTAAAGAATAAATTTAAATTTAAAATAGAGTTACAGTTACTATTTACAATATACAAGTGCACATGGTGCACACAATGTAAGGTGACAGCAGTACAGTGAAGTAAAGTGACGTATGATGGGCAGTAAAGTGACTTTATAAAGGGCGGGGGGACAGGTTAAGAAGTGTTCAAGAGTCCAACAGCAGAGGGGAAGAAACTGTTCTTGTGGCGGGAGGTTCTAGTCCTGATGTACCGCAGCCTCCTGCCTGAGGGGAGTGGTTGGAATAGTCCATGTGCAGGGTGAGAGGGGTCGGCTGTGATACGACCAGCCCGGCCTCGAGCTCGGGCGACGTACAGGTCCTGCAGCGATGGAAGGCTGCGGCCGATCACTTCCTCTGCAGAGCGCACAATGCGCTGTAGTCTCTGTTTGTCCCTGACTGTGGCTCCAGCGAACCACACGGTGATGGAGGAGGTGAGGATGGACTCGATGATGGCCGTGTAGAACTGCACCAACATCTGTGCAGGCAGCTTGGCTTTCCTGAGCTGCCGCAGGAAGTACATCCTCTGCTGGGCCTTCTTGATGAGGGAGCTGATGGTCGGCTCCCACTTGAGGTCCTGGGTGATGGTGGTGCCCAGGAAACGGAAGGACTCCACAGAGGTGATGGGGGAGTCCATCACGGAGGGTGGGGGCGGGGGGACAGTGCTCTTCCTGAAGTCCACAATCATCTCCACTGTCTTCTGGGCGTTCAGCTCCAGGTTGTTACCACTGCACCAGGACACCAGCCGGTCCACCTCCCTCCTGTAGGCGGACTCATCGTTGTTGGAGATGAGTCCAATGAGGGTGGTGTCGTCCGCGAACTTGATCAGCTTCACGGAGTCGTGGCTGGAGGTGCAGTGGTTGGTGTACAGGGAGAAGAGCAGGGGAGAAAGAACACAGCCCTGTGGGGCTCCTGTATTTATAATCCGAGAGTCCGAGACATTCTTCCCCAGACGCACTCGCTGCTTCCTGTCCGTCAGGAAGTCAGTGATCCACCTGCAGGTGGAATCGGGCACGTTGAGCTGGGAGAGCTTGTCCTGGAGCAGGGATGGCAGGATTGTGTTGAAGGCAGAGCTGAAGTCCACGAACAGGACCCTGGCGTAGGTCCCCGGGGAGTCCAGGTGCTGTAGGATGTGGTGGAGGGCCAGGTTAATGGCGTCGTCTACAGATCTGTTGGCTCTGTAGGCGAACTGCAGGGGGTCCAGGAGGGGGGAGGTGAGGGACTTGAGATGGGAGAGAACCAGGCGTTCAAATGACTTCATGACGACAGACGTAAGTGCTACAGGTCTGTAGTCATTGAGTCCTGTGATCCTGGGCTTCTTCGGGACGGGGACAATGATGGAGGATTTGAAGCAGGACATGGCAGGACTGCAGAGAGGAGTTGAAAATGTCCGTGAACACAGGAGTAAGCTCACTGGCGCAGTGTCTCAGAGTGGCCGGAGACACGTGGTCCGGGCCAGGAGCTTTGCGGGGGTGCAGCCTCAGGAAGAGTTGTTTAATCTCTTTAGCGGCTATTGTTAGGCTGGGGGCAGGGCTGATGGGTGGGTCGTTAGAGTAGTGGGGGGTGGGGGAGGGAGAGGTGTCAGGGGCAGCATCAAAGCGACTGAAAAATAAGTTCAGATCGTCAGCTAGCTTGTGGTCATCAGCACAGGGGGGGGCTTTGGGTTTGTAGTTGGTGATCTCCCGTAGGCCCCTCCAGACAGAAGCAGTATCGTTGTTACCAAACTGCTCCTGTAGTCGTTCTCTGTGCCGGGACTTGGCTGCTTTCAGTTCTTTCCTGAACTGATATTTAGCTGCTTTGTAGCCGCTGCGGTCCCCCTCCCTGAAAGCAGACTCCTTTGCTTTCCTGAGCTGCCGGAGTTTTAGCAGTGAACCAGGGTTTGTCGTTGTTATAGATGACCCTGGTCCTTGTTGGAATGATGCTATCCTCACAGAAGTGGATGTATGACGTCACAGTGTCCGTATATTCATCCAAGCTGTCTGTGGCAGCTCTGAAAAGGTCCCAGTCTGTAGATTCCATGCATGCGCGCAGCTCTTCCACAGCTTCATCAGACCACACTTTGGAGCTCCTCACTGCAGGTTTCGAGAGCTTTAGTCTCTGTCTGTAAGCAGGAACCAGATGTATCATGGAGTGATACACCTGTATGGGTGTAGCAGACCTGTGTGGGTGTAGCACAGACCTGTGTGGGTGTAGCGCAGACCTGTGTGGGTGTAGTACAGACCTGTGTGGGTGTAGTACAGACCTGTATGGGTGTAGCACAGACCTGTATGGGTGTAGCACAGACCTGTGTGGGTGTAGTACAGACCTGTGTGGGTGTAGCAGACCTGTATGGGTGTAGCAGACCTGTGTGGGTGTAGCAGACCTGTATGGGTGTAGCAGACCTGTGTGGGTGTAGCAGACCTGTGTGGGTGTAGTACAGACCTGTATGGGTGTAGCAGACCTGTGTGGGTGTAGTACAGACCTGTGTGGGTGTAGTACAGACCTGTATGGGTGTAGCAGACCTGTATGGGTGTAGCAGACCTGTGTGGGTGTAGTACAGACCTGTGTGGGTGTAGCAGACCTGTACGGGTGTAGCAGACCTGTATGGGTGTAGCAGACCTGTATGGGTGTAGCAGACCTGTGTGGGTGTAGTACAGACCTGTATGGGTGTAGCAGACCTGTGTGGGTGTAGCACAGACCTGTGTGGGTGTAGCAGACCTGTGTGGGTGTAGCACAGACCTGTACGGGTGTAGTACAGACCTGTGTGGGTGTAGTACAGACCTGTGTGGGTGTAGTACAGACCTGTGTGGGTGTAGTACAGACCTGTGTGGGTGTAGTACAGACCTGTGTGGGTGTAGTACAGACCTGTGTGGGTGTAGTACAGACCTGTGTGGGTGTAGTACAGACCTGTGTGGGTGTAGTACAGACCTGTATGGGTGTAGCAGACCTGTATGGGTGTAGCAGACCTGTGTGGGTGTAGTACAGACCTGTGTGGGTGTAGCAGACCTGTACGGGTGTAGTGCAGACCTGTGTGGGTGTAGTACAGACCTGTGTGGGTGTAGTACAGACCTGTGTGGGTGTAGTACAGACCTGTGTGGGTGTAGTACAGACCTGTATGGGTGTAGCAGACCTGTATGGGTGTAGCAGACCTGTGTGGGTGTAGTACAGACCTGTGTGGGTGTTGCAGACCTGTACGGGTGTAGCACAGACCTGTGTGGGTGTAGCACAGACCTGTGTGGGTGTAGCAGACCTGTACGGGTGTAGTACAGACCTGTGTGGGTGTAGTAGACCTGTGTGGGTGTAGTACAGACCTGTACGGGTGTAGTACAGACCTGTGTGGGTGTAGTAGACCTGTGTGGGTGTAGTACAGACCTGTACGGGTGTAGCAGACCTGTACGGGTGTAGTACAGACCTGTGTGGGTGTAGTACAGACCTGTACGGGTGTAGCAGACCTGTATGGGTGTAGTACAGACCTGTATGGGTGTAGTAGACCTGTGTGGGTGTAGTACAGACCTGTACGGGTGTAGCAGACCTGTGTGGGTGTAGTACAGACCTGTGTGGGTGTAGTAGACCTGTGTGGGTGTAGTACAGACCTGTACGGGTGTAGTACAGACCTGTGTGGGTGTAGTACAGACCTGTACGGGTGTAGCAGACCTGTATGGGTGTAGCAGACCTGTATGGGTGTAGTAGACCTGTGTGGGTGTAGTACAGACCTGTACGGGTGTAGCAGACCTGTACGGGTGTAGTGCAGACCTGTGTGGGTGTAGCAGACCTGTACGGGTGTAGTGCAGACCTGTGTGGGTGTAGCACAGACCTGTGTGGGTGTAGCAGACCTGTACGGGTGTAGTACAGACCTGTGTGGGTGTAGTAGACCTGTGTGGGTGTAGCAGACCTGTATGGGTGTAGTACAGACCTGTGTGGGTGTAGTACAGACCTGTACGGGTGTAGCAGACCTGTACGGGTGTAGTACAGACCTGTGTGGGTGTAGTACAGACCTGTACGGGTGTAGCAGACCTGTATGGGTGTAGCAGACCTGTATGGGTGTAGTAGACCTGTGTGGGTGTAGTACAGACCTGTACGGGTGTAGCAGACCTGTGTGGGTGTAGTACAGACCTGTGTGGGTGTAGTACAGACCTGTGTGACGGGGGGCTGGGGGGCAGTGGTGGCGCTGCTCTGTTGGAGTTGACTTTGCTCTCGCTGCTGACGCTGCATCAGCACCAGCTGCTCCTGGTGCTGCTGGTACTGCTCTGCTGTGAACACTGAGAACAGAGCAACACCACATGGTTAATGACCAGATACAACTTTTCTACATGTTACCAGTTAACACAACCTCCTTCCTCATCCTCACCCTTCCTACTTATCATAGAGTGTTCCTAAAAACATTGGCCCAGAGAGACTTTGACAAAGCAAGAACGTAGCTGGGTCCTAGTCTGCCTGAGCAATCTGCAATTACATTTCTCTCATACAGATGTTTTGCATTATGTGATATATACTTGGGCAGAGGCAGGAGAAAACAAATCCTCTTTTTCAGCCTCATTATCACAGTCTCTCCCTTTTAAATGAAGATTACCTTCTTTAATACCTGTTCAGTCAGTTTTAGAAATGTGTGATTTATAAAACATGAAACCTCTTTTTGTTAAGTTGTTAGCAAGTCAGTATTTCAGTCCAGCAGAAAAATGTTTGAGCTGCCAGTTTCAAACTAGCCTGGTCTTACCATACCATCATACATTGAGCTCCGTTACCAGGTGGGAGGGGTTAACTCCTTTTACAGATTGAAACCATTGTATTCGAGTTTACAGTTACAGTTTAACGTATGTAATGCGCCGGAGTGAGTGAGGTATTTAGCATTTAGCCTAGCTTTAGCCTCTTCTCTGCCACATCTCCTTTGCCACTAACAGAGCCCGTGGAGAGTAGAGCCACAACATCTTTGCCAACAATAACATTTGCTTAACACTCCTCTTCCGATGGCTTCCATTTCTTGATATTTGGAGCCAAACCAAAACAGATTACTTTACCGTAGCATTTGCCTAACTACAACCAGAAAATTCAGAGCAAACTCTTGACCAACACAACACCTGCTTCCCCCGCTCTCTGATAGGTTAGATTCAACCGAGGAAGCAGCAGCCACTAGGCTCAGACCCAGACATGGTCTAAAGTCACAACCACCAATAAAACAATAAACTAGCGTTAAACATTAGCAAAACAAAAAGTATTGTGTTTGGAACCAGTACTGTGTGGAGCAAGTTCATGAGATCAAACTACTGGGAGTGGAACAAATGTAAAGTGGATGCATTCATGTTTGTGTTGGTTAATGGAGAAAGATTTGAGGCATTGTTACTCAATTTCACAAGATATATTATTGAGAACAAAACTCCAAATGTGCTTTATCAAGAGCTCTGTTTTAGTTCTGGTGAGCACAACTATGAAACCCGACATGCCACAGAAGGCAGATTCAAGTTAACCAAAGTCAAAAACAAATTTTGGAAAAGCAACTGTAATGTACAGGTCAATGTTTGCCTGGAATCATCTCCAAATGACATTATAATTAATGCAAACAGTAAATACCAATTTAAAATCCTTTTAAAAAGATATCTATTGACAAATTAGTATAAACATGTGATATTACAACTGTGATGTAATCTCTAACTACCATTGACAACTGAAATCGTGTGTGTGTGTGTGTGTGTGTGTGTGTGTGTGTGTGTGTGTGTGTGTGTGTGTGTGTGTGTGTGTGTGTGTGTGTGTGTGTGTGTGTGTGTGTGTGTGTGTGTGTGTGTGTGTGTGTGTGTGTGTGTGTGTGTGTGTGTGTGTGTGTGTGTGTGTGTGTCATCATTTGTGCTTTTATTTTAGTATAATTATTGTCATGTATTTTTGTTAATGCACCTTTGCCTGACTCCAGGAACAATAGCTGTGTTGAACAGCTAATGGAGATAAAAATAAACACAAATACCGATACTATTGTGTATTGTCTTTGGCACAAACACACCACCACAGTTGTATGTCCTATTTTATCTGTTTTATATCAACATGCCATGGGACTACGGATGAAAATGGGCCTCATAGCCATTTTGCCGAAATCTAAGCTGCATTGGAGGTGCACTCGTGCTGATCTCTTCACGCACGATGCAGGAGGGTCTTGTTGGACAGTTATGCCGTTTTTCCACAGTGTCAGTTCAGTTCATTTCGGTACGGTACGGCGCACCTATTTTGCGTTTCCACTAGTGGATGGAATGGGAGATTTGAGTACTTTTCCGTACTGCCTCAGCCTTGGTTCCATCCCCATAGTACCCGTGCCATGACGTGACGTCGGCCCACTGCCTTACACTGATTGGTCAACGAGTGTCGTCACTGGAAGCGACCTCTGACCCTTTGGGAAAAACAACTCAACCGCCATCTTTAAAAGCGGCTGCTCTGCTTGGCTCTGCTTCGGCTACATTACGTCCTCCTCACTCCAGAGAAATGGAATCTCACAGAAAGCCCCAAAAGTCCTGGTCCTGGTCGGTGGAAGAGGTCCACACGTTCCTCTCTTCAGGCCAAAGAAAGAATTCAAAGGCAGCTCGAGGCTCAACACAGTTTTCAGGAGATTGCTCTGGATTTGTGACTAGTCTGTGGTAATCCTGAAATAACTGGTTAGCTACGAACCCCCTAAAGCTCTCACTGAAATGTATTTACTGTGTACATGTTTGATTGTCTGTTGTACACAGTGAGCTAGCTACATTTAGCCTCTATGAGCTATCGATAGCAGCTAAGCTAACGTCCTCCTGTGCTACTGTGCTTTATCTCGTATTATCTGCAGTATTCACGTGTTTCTGTTTTGTGCTTGTATTTATGTTGTTGTGTGTATTTGTTTGAGAATCCCTTTCCATAAGTGTGGAGATTACCAACGAGTAATGAGTGACCGGATTATTCTCATCTGGACCTGGTCTGGACCTGGTCTGGACTTGGTCTGGACCTGGTCTCTGACATACGTACTTTTGACTTTGTAAACTGCTGGTTTTGCACTTTACTTTTCAATAAATCTGTGATTGTATCAAGACTGTTTCATTCATTTATTATTATTGTAACTGAGGTTTGGGTATCGATTGTTTGTCTGGTCTCTGGTCCGGACTAGCCTAGTTTAGCCTAGCTTAGCCTAGCCTAGCCGCTAACTCGCTACCCCTGTGGCTGCCGCTGTCTCTCCCTCTGTCCTGCTCGAGTTGCCATATGACGAGTTTAAACCCTGGATCCTCCTCTGAGGGTAGTGATAGATGTGTTAAGTGTAGTATTGTAGTAGCTTTGGAATCCAGGGTTAGTGAGTGAGCTGAGTCTCGAGCTAGCGTTAGCATTAGCTATAGCCTAGCAGTATCCTCGGACATGCAGCCCTCCTCTGCTACACAGGCTGCTGTTGCTACAGGTCCATTCAGATTGTACAGAGCAGTCGGCACCATTGACTTCAGTTTCCAAGTCATTCTTTTAAGACATAAGCATTTTCAAAAACTACTCGTGCTGTGTTGAATTTTCTATTAAACACTTATAAATCCATGCACTGCACCAGTACTAGTTACGCGTCACACGTAAATGACGTGGTCTGACAACGCTGAGGACATACTGGGGGTACTATTTTTGATGGAAAAGCATGCAAACGGGGCCATGGCGCGCCGTGTAGAGTCAAAACGTACCGTACTAGGACCATGGAAAAGCGGCATAAGAAACGAGAATGGGACTCTAAACTGTTTTGTTGTGCTTTGATGGCCTTTCCTTTAAGTGCTGCAGCTAAAAGATTTACTGAGGCCTGGCCCTGAGCTGACCTCATCTGTCGACCTCTGAACTTTTCCCATTTAATGATTTCCTTTTTGCGTTTGAAATATGGGTCAACGAGCCTCAGCCATGTTAATAAATGTCTCAGTTGTAAGGGATGGAGATACGTTGAACTTGTTTTGTTAGAAAAATCACTAACATTGAGACTGCCTCTGTGTGTGCTGCTCCAGAATGAGCCTCACTAAACACCACATTCTTCAACAAACTGCGGGATAATTACATCTGCAGCGCACACACATCGCTCACACACAAACCATGATAATTAATCTACTTTGTGAGACTGAAGCAAGTGCAATGCAGCAAAATAATCCTCCTAAGGCCGTTTTTACATTGTTTTCTAATGAAATGGACCATTCACTTTAAGTCAAATTTAGTTTTCTGGAACAATCTTCAGTGGTCCATCATTTACAACCCACAATACGTGAAAAATCAAAAAGAAAATAGCAGCTGCAGAACTCTACTGCTGAAGCGCAGTCACATAAATCTGATCTCTGTGCTAAGACACAAAAGGTTTCTCCTGACTCCAAACCAGGGTAACTCATCTTATGCTAGCAGTTATATGTTATGCTAGCAGTTATATGTTATGCTAGCAGTTATGTTATGCTAGCAGTTATATGTTTACGATGCTTCCAAAGACAGACATGTGATTCGCAAAATTATTTGAACTTCTAATAATTCTCCATGTTCCCTTTTTAAATGGCTATTTTCAGACGTAAAGTTTCTACTTGAACTCATTTGTCACTAGTCATTTATGTTCTACTTGAACTGAGAGAAGATGAGCAGTAGTAATAGTAGTAGCAATCTTTATTTATATACCGCCTTTTCACTGCAGACCAGAGTCTCAAAGCGGTTACAATTGTTATTTTTGGGCATTTGTCTCTCACTCCACACAGAGATGGGAGGGGCCAGTACAGGAGGCACATGCCAGAGCTAATGTGCATGTTTTTAGTTGTAGGGGAAACCGGAGTACCCGGAGGAAACCTACGCAGACATGGAGAGAACATGCAAACTCCACACAGAAAGACCCTGTTCCGACCGGGATTTGAACCCAGGACCTACTTGCTGAGAGGCGAGAGTGCTATGCACTAAGCCAATGTGCCGAGCAAATGAGCACGAGCAAATCACTCGTTACACAAATCAAACATGGCACAGACAAAGTGAACGCGCGCGCGCGCACACACACACACACACACACACGTCAAGTTTTTTCTGTTAAAAAAATGCCAAAAGAAAAGCTATTGAAGGTCTGGTGTTGTAATATGGTCCAAACTCAAAGGGGCATTATGCATACATGCATTAAGTGTTCCGAGCTTCCGGCTCGACCCCACGGCATTGTGGGTAGTCTTCTCCAAAAGGTGGGCATCAAATCACGCTGCCATATTGGATTACATGTCGTGAACGTTCTCTCTTTTCCAGCCCATCGATTGGTGAATGTGGTGAACAATTTCAGACATTTAGAAGG